ATTTTCTAGATGTAACTACAGTAACAAAACATTGTTTTTTTTTTTATCCTTAAGCAAAATCAACACTGCACTCTTTAAGTTTCTGATAGATCAGTCTGGAGGCACTTTAACTCCCAAAACTTTGATGAATAGAGAGTCACCCTGGTATGTTCATGTAAAATAAAGTGTTTTTACATGTTTTTGTTTATTTGTAGATTTTAACCAGACGTCAGTGCCATCAGCAAGAGGCTATATGGGAACTGCTGCAGACAGAGTCAGACTACATCAAGAAATTGCATGTCATCACTGATGTAAGAGCCCACTGATGTTTACTTCAGTACATTATCTTAGTATCTATGCAAATGTGTGTGAAAATGCCATTGAAATAGGTCTCGTTGTTTTCAACAAGACCATGAGAGGAATTTATAATATTTATCTTGTCATGTGCTCATTGACTTCAGCATTTATGGTACTTTTATGTGTCTTGTGACAGATTATTTGTGAAACGTTATAGCACAGTATAATTAGAATCTCTTCCTCTTTCGCCAGCTGTTTCTGTGTGGCCTGCTGAACCTGCAGGAGAGTGGTTTACTTAGTGAAGTCGAACCTGTGCGCCTCTTCAGTAACATTCAGGACATCGTGCAACTGCACACATCCCTGTGGGCTGAGGTCATGCTGCCGGCGCTAGAGAAAGCCAGACAGAAAAGATCAGTGATCAACCCCACTGAACTACATCAGGGCTTCAGCACTGTGAGTGTGTGTATATCATTTGTCAAGACTTTAATGAATAGTTCACCCAAAACTGAAAACTTACTCATCCATAGGCCCTTGAAGTTTTAGATGAGTTTGTTGTATGATCACTGAATGGGTGCCGTCAGAATGAGAGTCCAAAAATGTCACATTAATCTACAAGTAATCCACATGATTACAGTCCATCAGTCCTACAGAAAGCTACATGTTTGTAGTAAATTCATCATCAAGACATTTTTCCACTTCAAACCATTGCTTTCTGCTTAGATATGAGTCCTCTATCCATAATAATGCTTTCTCCAATGAAAAAAAGTTGTTGTGTTTGAATCAGAATTTTATCTGTATTTGAGCTCTCATTCTTAAGGTCTTTGCACACTGAGTCCGACATTTTCGCACGTTAAAAAATAAATATGACCTCACGTTGTGTCAATCACGTTTACACACTGCCTCTGAAACTTTCGTCCGTCATAAAAAATTCGGACCAGGTTCGATTTTCTGCATTTTCACATCCGTAACAAGCATTTTGATAGGAAAGAATGACGAATACGAAAAAACGCATACGAAAATTTCGGACTCGGTGTGCAAGGACCTTTACAGCACTCATTAGTTGATTTTCAGCAATTTTGTGAACTAAAAGCCTTTAAAGTGATCAAAATTGCCCCTACATTTTTAAACATCATTTTGCTGGCCTGATTACATTTTTTTTATGTGCAGTTTGGTTTCCGATTCAAGCCCTACATCCATTACTACATGGAGGAAGAGGCCTGTATGGAGTACATGCGCACTTTACTGAAAGACAATGAACTCTTCAGAATATACGTAACTGTGAGTAATTATTACAATCCATATCTGGTTGCTCTTCAGCCAGACACATTAACCTTTGATGGATTCAGTCTGGTGACAAATATAAAGGCATGTCTGAAGGTTTATTGTATATGAGAGATATGAGAGATCACCTGTATTGTAACTGCACTCTCATTATGACTCAGTGATTCCATCATGGTCTGCTTGTGCTGCCAGTGCATGTTTATGATTGTTCACCAAATGAGACTTTCAATAAACTTTTCCATCCTGTAGTGGGCAGAAACTCATAAACAGTGCAACCGGCTGAAGCTGACAGACATGTTGGTGAAGCCTCATCAAAGACTTACTAAATACCCACTGCTGCTCAAAAGTGTGTTGAAAAAGACAGATGACCCGGCAACTCGTGAAGCCCTTAACAAAATGGTAAGTAGTTCTTTCTAAAATTTTTGCAATAGAGCATATGTGCACATTATTCAGTAGTATTTTGTTTATTTTAATGTTGTTTACAATAGTGTATTCAAACTAGAGGGTTTTGGGATTGCCAGTCCATGCCAAATTGTATTGAATTATATAATAATCACAATAATATTGTGAAATATTCAGATGTCTAAGACCACATTTAAATTCTAAAAAAAAAAGAATTCTAGGGATTTTAACCTGGTAAAAGTTTAAAATAAACAATTAAATGTATATATATGTATATGTATGTATGTATGTATATATATATATATATATATATATACGTATGTGTGTGTGTATAATGTATTACATTTCTAATAAAAATATTATATTATATTAAAATTTATAAATTGATATAAATAATTGCAATTTAATTTAGATATTTAAGATATACGTTAAATATATACGTTATATTTACTGTATATATATATATATATATATATATATATATATGCTGTATATTATATTTTTCTATATTTTATTGTCTATTATTTTTATTGTGTATTGACAGTCCCATAGTAAATATTTGTTTTTGTGGTCAGGTGGCTGCTGTTGAATGCTTCATTAACAGTGTGGACTCACAAATGAGACAAAGGGAGGAAAAACAGAAGCTGGCTGCCATCGCTGGACGTATAGAGGCGTATGAGGCCGTGGAGGGGGCCAGCGAGGAGGTGGAGAGGGTGAGATGCATGAACTATGAGTCACTATCATGGCTTCAGAATGTTGCATGCTTTATATGAGATCTTGAAGAAACAAACAGCATGACATGCTTGGTGTCTCTATAATCATCCATTGTGCTGTGCATTGATCCTTCAGATCCTCAGGGAATATAATAACTTTGACCTGACTGCTCCAGTCATGGGCGCCCCACCTGAAGAGACTCGTCAGCTGCTCCTAGAGGGAGCTCTCAAGATGAAGGAGGGTAAAGAGAGCAGGGTACGATTTCCTTCTTTTTTTTAATTTGTTACAGGAAAAAGAAGCAAAGCCTGCATTTCTAAGTGCACTTTAGTAAGAAATCAATTTTTAACTAACAGCTAATAGTTGTCTAAAAGCTTCTCACTGGTCTCCATTAACTCCTGTTTCCGACAGATGGATGTATACTGTTTCCTGTTCACTGATGTTCTGTTGATTACTAAGTCCGTGAAGCGTGTAGAGAAAGTGAAGGTGATCCGGCAGCCTCTCGTCATCCATAACGTGGTGTGCCGAGAGCTGAAAGACCCAGGAAGCTTCCTCCTTATCTACCTCAACGAGTTTCGCTGTGCCATTGCCTCCTACTGCTTTCAGGCCAACAGTGGCACTCAGGGCCGCAGCTGGATTGAGGCCATTTACAACGCACAGGTATTTGAATTAACCCACTGCAACCTTTTGATTAATAATGTTTGGCCTTGATTGTTGGTTTTAATATGAAGAGTTTCCCCATGCAGAACCAGCTCCAGAGACTTTGCTCTGAGACCCAGAGAGATGACAGAGATGAGGATGAGACAGAAAGCAGCATGTCCACCTCTAGCTCTCCATCAATACAGCACAGAGAGCCTCTAGGCAAGAGGTACGGTTTTCCTTATATACTGTATATACAGTATATATTGTATGTAGATTATTCCTGTAGTTCAAACAGTACAGCATGGCACTAGCAAAACTAAGGTTTCATTTCCTAAGTAATGCAATGTAAGTCATTTTAGATAAAAGCCTCTCCCAAATCTATAAATTTAAATGCAAGTAAATAGATGATTAAAATGTATCTTTCTTGCTTGAAGTAATGTATGTGTGTGTATGTTATAATTTTCATCATAAATAAACACTTGCATGAGCTGCTCTTAAATGACAATTTAATGAAAGATCATAAGTAAATGAAGTCGAATATATATATATGAAAATTAAAAGAAATTATAATATGTATTAACACAATGGTAATACAAAACAATTAAAATACTGTATATAAAAATTCAGAAATTTCATAAATTCATAAATATATTTAAAAAGCATTATGTATGTGCATGTATGAATAATATAAAAACATTATATTTGAAAACAAAAAAATTAAAATATTATAATTTACATCATGAATAAACATGAGCTGCTCATAAATAACAAAACTGTGTGAAAAATCAAAGTACATTAATCAGTCTAATAAAGTCATATATATATATA